GCACCTATGTAGTAGATGTAGCCTACTACATACCTGGGCTGTAAGATCACGCCACTGCACTTCAGCCTGGTGACAGAGTGAGATTCTGTCTGAAAAATTAAAAATTAAAATAAATATCCCTGTTGCTGAACCACTTAGACCCACTGTGGGCTAACTCGTCTTAGTATTTTTTAGGTGAGCATTGTATCTCTCCCAGTGTTGGTTTCTGCCTTGTGCTGGGAGCCTGGGAGAGAAGAAGAGGCAGGGAGAGAAGAAAATAGCAGGTGCAAGATGGACCCGTGCAATGCATTTGGCCTTGTCCTTTTGCTGCGAACCCAAGGTTGTGTGGGGGGTGAAAGGATACTTTCTCTGCATTTCAATGGTCAGACATTTTTCTTCCTAAATACCCTGACCTCTGCTGGCTTAATGTGAATCTTAATTACAGTTGTCAGTTGTCATTTTCTGAAAGTTTTCTTCAGGGAAAAATGTTTTTCATGTTCCTTTTAAAATGCGATTTTCAGAAAAATTAAAACTTCTAAGGCTTTGCATAGTAAAATTTACATTTATTTAGGAAATTCCTAACCATCCAAATGGTACTTTTGATTTCTAAGATGCAGAACCTTTTTTTCTTTTTAAAACTGCTCTTGTACCTCAGGAGATAAGAGAACAGATACTTTTATATGCCATACTTTTAGGTGTAAAGATTTATCAATTACCTTTAATACAGGTTGGTATAAGGAGGGCATCACATTTAGTGAAGAGAGCTCTATTTAATAGGGGATTGTAAAGATTAAATATATATGTAAAGTGTTTTGGGGCTGTAATTTCTTCAGAAATGTTTGTTATTAGAAACAGCTGGTTTTTGTTTGCTGATCTTGTACCTTGTAACTTTGCTTACTTTATTAGCGTTAGTTGTTTTTTCTTGAGTGGATTCTTTAGGATTTTCTGTAAATAGAATCATGTCATCTTCAAATAGAAATAGTTTTACATCTTCCTTTCCAGTTCGGATACCTTTTGTTTCTTTTATTTGCCTAATTACTCTGACTAGGACTTCTAATAATGTTGAATATCAGTGATGAAATTGGATATCCTTATTTCTGATTTTAGGGAGAATGTTTTCACTATTTATTGAGTATGATGTTAAGTGTGAATTTTTCATGGATGTCCTTTATTAGATTAAGGAAGTTTTCTTCTATTCCTAGTATGCTATTTTTTTTTTCTATGAAAGATTGTTGAATTTTGTACACTTGTGTGTGTGTTCATTCTATTAATGTGTTGTATCACGTTGATTGATTTTCTTATTTTGTACTACCCTTACATTCCTGGGATAAATCACACTTGGTCATGGTATGTAATTCTTTTAATGTGCTGTTGAATTTGGCTTACTAGTATTTTGTTGTAGAGTTTTGAATCTCTCTCCATGAAGATTTAAGTAGTATGTAGTTTTCTTGTGGTATCTTGTCCAGCTTTCATAGAATGTGTTATAAAGTATTTCTTCCTCTTGTATTTTTCTTAAGTTTGAATAGGATTGTTGTTCATTCTCTTTTACATGTTTGGTTGACCTCGTCAGTGAAGCTGTCTGGTTTTGTACTTCTCTTTGTTAAGAAGTTTTTGATTATTGATTCAATCCCTACTTGTTTTAGGTTTGTTGAGATTATCCATTTCTTCTTGAGTCAGTACTGGTAGATGGTATGTTTCTAGGAATTTGTTTATTTAATCTAGATTGTCTAATTGGCTGGCATATAAATTTTCCCCTATAATCCTTTAAATTTCTGTTTAGCTAAAGGTTTGTTACTTTTGCCGATCTTTTCAAAGAAATGACTTTTTGTTTCATTGCTTCTAATTTTTTTTTTCTTGCCTGCTCTAATCTTTGTTATTTCCTTCCTCTGCTGACTTTGGGTTTAGTTTGCTTTTCCTTAAGGTATAAAATTCGCTTCTTGATTTGTGATCTTCTTTTTTAATATAGGCATTTATAGCTACACATTTCTTTCTGAGTACTGCTTTCTCAGCCCCTAATACATTTCAATGTGTTGTGCTTTCATTTTCATTCATCTGAAAGTATTTTCTAATTCTCCTAGTCACTTCTTCCCTAGTTTGTTATTGGTTTTAGCCTCATCCCTTATAGTTGGAGAAGATACTTTGTATGATTTCAGTCTTAAAATTTATTGAGAATTGTTTTATAGCCTAACAACTGATCAATCCTAGAGAATGTTCCATGTGTACTTTAGAAAAAAATGTATGTTCTGTTGTTGGTTAGAGTGTTGTTTATATATCATTAGATCTAATTGGTTTGTAGTGTTTTTCAGGTCTTCTGTTTTCTTATTGCTCTTCCGTATGGATGTTCTATATTTTATTGTAAGTAGTGTCTTAAAGTCTGCAATTATTGTAGAACTCTATTTCTCCCTTTAAGTCTGTCAGTGCTTGCTTTTCATATATTAATATTTTGGGGGCTCTGTTCTTTGGAGTATATATATTTGCAATTATTATATTTTCTTGATGAATTGACCCTTTTGTCAATACAGAGTAGTATCCTTTTCTCTTGTAATAAATTTTAACTGAAAACCCATTTTATCTGTTGTTAGTATACTCACCTAGCTCTCTTTTGGTTACTGTTTGAATGGAATGTCTTTTTTATTGTTTCATATTCAACCTATTTGTGTTTTGGAGTTTGAAGTGAATCTCGTTTAAGTAGCATAGAGTTGGACCATGTGTTTTTGTTTTGTTTTGTTTTTAAATCTCTTCCTATCGCTTTGAGCAAACAGGACCATGCTTTTTTTAACTCCATTCTGCCAGTCTTTTTCTTTTTTTAATTTGTGAGTTTAATTTATTTATATTTAAAGTGATTACTGATAAGGAAAGACTGACTTCTGCCATTTTGGTATTTATTTTCTATACGTCTTAAATCTCTTTTTGTTTCTCAGTTTCTCCACTATTGCCTTCTTTTACGTTTGATTGATTTCTTTCTCATGTACCATTTTGATTCCCTTATTTTTCTCTTCTGTATAACTATATTATCTAGTTTAAATTAATATCAATTTATTTTTACTAGTGTACATTAACTCTGCTCCTTGTTAGCTTTGTTCCCACCCCTTTTATTGCCCATTTACATAGATAGATTTAAAATTCTTGTTTTATGTGTATGTCTTTTAATTCATTTAGGAAACAGAAGAGTTAAAATATACAGTGATACTTGCTTTTATATTTACTTGTGTAGTGACCTTTACCAGTAATCTTTAATTCTTGTAAGGCTTCAGGTTACCATCTAGTGCCCTTTTGTTTCAGCCTGAAAGACTCCTTTAACATTTCTTGTAAAGAAGGTCTACTAGTAATGGATTTTATTAGCTTTTGTTTATCTGAGAATATCTTAATTTCCCCTTCATTTGGAAGGATAGTGCAGCTAGAGAATTCATCTGTCTTACTATAGGAATTCCATATTGCATTGGTTGGTACACTTGATGATGTCCCATTGGTCTCTCATGGCCTTTACTTTTTTTTCTTTCTTCTCCTCAGACTGGATAGTTTCAGTTGTCTCATCTTCAGGTTTGCTGGCCCTTCTGAATCTCAAAACCTGCTGTTGAACCTCATTATGGAATTATTCATTTCAGCTATTTTACTTTTCAGCTCCAGAATTTCTATTTGATTCCCTTTTGAAATTTCCATCTCTTTATTAATATTGCCTATTTGTTCATAGAAGCTTGTTCTGATTTCCTTTTTCTTTGTCTATTTAAAACTGTTAAAGTCTTGATATAGTGAGCCTGTTCTAGCTTCTTCATGGATGGTTTCTGTCCATTTCTTTTCTTCTTTTTCTGTGAATTTTTCTGTCAACTTTTTAATTTTAATTTTTCTTCGTGTATTTTGCAATTTTCATTAAGAACTAGACATTTTGAATATTATAATGCAGTAATTCTGGAAGTCATATAATTTTCCCTCTCCAGGGGTTGCTGTTCTTACTCATTGAATGCTGAAGTTATCTGTTTGTTTAGTGACTTTTCTGAACTATTTTTGCAAAGACTGAATTCTTTGTTGCATGCAATTACTGAGGTCCCTGTTCTGTTATCTCTAAGGTCAGCCAGTGATTTCCTTAAATGCCTGCATCCAATAAGGATAAAAAAGTTTCTGTATCTAATTTCTTTTGAAAGATACTGCTTGGGAAGCCCTTCAGCTCTAAGGGTTTGAAACAGTAGCCAGCCTTTGCTCCAATCTCTAAGTGAATTTACAGGCAAATCAAAACACACCCCCTACAAACTCTGAAGGACGATGTTCACTTCCTGGTACAGGCAGGCCAGTCAAGGAATAGGAGCCGCAGTCTCCATGGCTACCTACCATAGAGATGGAGCTGACAGTTCTTGCCAGCTTAATAGTTAGTTGATTTAGTGAAGGGACTGCTTTGGAGTGTCTTACTCCACCATGTTCTGTGATGTATGCTGATATGTGTATCACTATATTAGCAGTATGTGTATGCATAGATTTAATTCTTATAAGTTATTTACCATTGTATCTGTTCACCTCACAAATTAGTATAGTTGACCAAAAAGACTGAATTTTGCACATAAATGTAGTGGTGTCACTACATATCACTACATCGTAACTTCTGACTGTGCAGATAAAATGGTTCTTTCTTTATTATATCTGTAGTTGGTCTAGTCTTTTTTCTTTCTTTTTTTTTTTTTTTTGAGACGGAGTTTCGCTCTTGTTACCCAGGCTGGAGTGCAATGGCACGATCTCGGCTCACCGCAACCTCCGCCTCCCGGGTTCAGGCAATTCTCCTGCCTCAGCCTCCTGAGTCGCTGGGATTACAGGCATGTACCACCATGCCCAGCTAATTTTTTGTATTTTTTTTTAGTAGAGACGGGGTTTCACCATGTTGACCAGGATGGTCTCGATCTCTTGACCTCGTGATCCACCCGCCTCGGCCTCCCACAGTGCTGGGATTACAGGCTTGAGCCACCGCGCCCGGCCCTAGTCTTTTTTCTACTACTTATTTATAGAAGACCTCCTAATTAGCTGGTGTGGGGGAAGGTGGCAGATATAATTTAAAACTTTGTCCAGTGTGATGACTTAAATAATATCTTTAGGAAGTATCTAACTCTGTCTGAGATAAAAGTGCTCAGTTTCTCACTCTGCTTTTAACCCTGGAATGGCTTAAGAGTGTGGGGTGAGGTGTGCTGCCTATGATATCTTGGCAGTGGGACACTGATTTTTTCCTTCTGTTTGATGTTCACTATTTCCTCTGGTCTCTGAATAATACCTTTTAACCTCCTACTAGTGTTTGCCTTGCTGGCATATGCTGATGATGTTATAGCTGGAAATTCATGGTTGGGCATTTCTGTTTGGTCAGAAACTCATGGTGCTTCCCAAGTAGTTCAGTCTTTGGCTTTTGCTCTGAGTTCTAGGTATCTGCCTTGTCTCTCTACAGCTGCTGGCCTGGAACTTCATGCACAGCCTTTGCTGCAGTATCACCCTGTTCCATAGCAAGCTCCATGGACACCACTAGCTCAGAAAATCTGCCTCAGAGCTTATAATTATTTGAGCATGTTGAAAAACTCCCTTGAGACAATGGCTTGGCTTACAAAATCATGGACTATATAATCCTTCTGTTCAGGTCAGATACTGCATATTTTTTCATTTGATCTCTTTGTAGTTCCTTCACTAATAAAACCAAATAGTTCCCCAGCCAGATGAATGCTTCCAGCAGTCTTGGGCAAAGATCAGATGCTTGGAAAGGCAAAACAACAAGAATGAAAATAACAATTTTTAATTTTTAAACACGCTCATGATTATACATGTGTGGCATGATATTTAGAGTTATATGTAATTCTGAATGTATAGAAGCCTCAAGCTTAAGGAATGTAGAATGTTTAGAGAGGTATATATGGTGTTCATATGTATGTATTTATGTTAAGATACATATGTATATATATTATGTATAGTTAAGATATTCTCTCCCTCCCTCTTTTTTTTTAATTTGTTAAATTTTTGAGACAGAGTATCACTCTTGTTGCCCAGGCTGGAATGCAATGGTGTGATCTCGGCTCACCGCAACCTCCGCCTCCCAGGTTCAAGTGATTCTCCTGCCTCAGCCTCCCGAGTAGCTGGGATTACAGGCGCATACCACCATGCCCTGCTAATTTTTGTATTTTCGGTACAGATAGATTTTTTTTACCATGTTGGCCAGGCTGGTCTCGAACTCCTGACCTCAGGTGATCCATCTGCCTTGGCCTCTCAAAGTGTTGGGATTACAGGCATGAGCACTGCACCCGACCTCTCTCTATATAATATTAAGAGGTTTGTTTTCTATGTATCAACATTTTCCCATGACTAAGAATAATGTGATTTCATGCACATATTTTCTTCTGTTGTAGGACAATTCGTGTTTGGTTAAAGAGAGACAGTGGACAGTATTGGCCAAGCATATACCATGCAATGCCTTGTAAGTATTCAAATCTCTGTTTTGAAAAACCAGACATGTACCCTAACTCTCCTTCCTTCCCAGATTGCCTTTTCTGTATTTTTTTCTTAAGTAGAGAAGACTGAGGTTGGGATTCTCATTATAATGAAAAGTACCATATTAAATCATTTTAGATTTTCTAAGGCTTTCGCTATGTAAAGTAAGAAAATTGTTCTGAAATTGACTGTATATTCATAGCTTTTGAATAAGATTAATGGAAGAAGGACTACAGCACATAGGTTTTCTGATTGCAGCAGTCTTCCTCTCTTTTCCAACTTTTTGTTCAGCTATTTTGTAAAGTATGTGCTTAGGCAATTCAGAATTTTGTCCAGTGATTACATTTGGAAAGTAAATTTGTCCTTGCCTTATTGTTACATCATTTATTCAAATTCAAGACATTCAGCATTGAACATTTAATTCTAAAAGGATTTGCTTAGGATTGAAACTTTCTAATTAGAAGTTGATTTCATTTCCCTGAGATCATATCTGAGAATTATGTCCTTGCACTGATAAATAGTGAATCTTCCAAGTACACTTTTAAAAGAAAAAAGATACGTGTGATTCTTAGATTATTCTATTTGCAGAAGTTCCCCCACAGCTGAAGAAGAACTGACCCCCAAAAATAAGAAGTTTCTTTTTAGTCTAGCCTTTTATTTTTAACATTAGTGAAGTTTGGGCATCCTATGCCATGTTTATTTTAGTGTAAAATAATTGTTTAAATTTATTATCATTTGTATTAAACATTTCCCTTACTCCCCTCCCTTCAAACCTTAATTAAGATGGACATCGTAGAAAAATCCCCCAGGTTTGTTGTTTGGACTCCTATACTTTTGGCTTGCTGCAGTGTATACCTCCCCTCTTGATATAAGTATCCCAGTTTCAGAAGCACATGCCAAAATAAATTCATACTAAATTGTAGATTTGCTTAAAATTATGCTTCTGGCAAAAGAATACTGTAATAAACAACAATTTTGCTTGTTTATAAACAAATGATTATTAACAATGTAATGGTTTTCAATGACTTTCAAATTATCTTTGAAGCTTTGCATGTTTTTAGAATTTTATAGTAAATAAATGATAACAACCAAGCTGAACAAAGTATTCAACCTTTTTTGGGGAGGAAGAAGAAACTTCATGTAATTCTAAATACTATATCCTTTCTTTACCTGTTTTGCTTCTAGAAGATACTATTGTACTTATGAAATCAAGCTGAACTTTCTTTTTAAGCCATGGAAGTGATGAGGGTATAGCTAAATGAAGAAGGAGAGCATTCTCTAGTTTTTTTTTTTTTTTTTTTTTTTTAAAGGATGAAGTCTTGCTCTATCACCCTGGCTAGAGTACAGTGGCACCATCTTGGCTCACTGCAACCTCTGCCTCCCACGTTCAAACAATTCTCCTGCCTCAGCCTCCCAAGTAGCTGGGACTACAGGCTCGTACCACCACACCCAGCTAATTTTTGTATTTTTAGTAGAGACGGGGTTTTACCATGTTGGCCAGGCTGGTCTTGAACTCCTGACCTCGGGTGATCCACCCACCTTGGCCTCACAAGGTGCTGGGATTACAGGTGTGAGCCACTGCGCCCAGCCATTTTTCCTGTTTTTTAAATGATTTAACCAGTTTTTTTCTGGTCTTGCTTCATCAAACCTGCCACAGTTTCTAACTGTAAGAGATGAAGGAGGGCTGTAATCCAGCCCATTGAAGTTGGCCTCAGAGATCAATAGATCCCATGACTCTGCAAATAGAAGAGGCTAACCTGGGCAAAATGATGGGAATTTGAGGATGGCAAGCAAGGAATCTTCTTGAAATAAGAGAGGCATTAATAGGAACCTCATGAAGGCACAGGATTCCAAGCAATTGGTAACTCATTCCCTTCCCCCTATACAAATACATATACATTTTGGTGTCATCCTCTAATGCTCTCTTTATTGGATATTACTGAGAACACAGAGAAGTTTTTAATTGCATTTTCATCATTTATTAAGCTATATGCAAGAATGACTAAAGTTCACTATAGCTCCCACACTTGGCATAAGTGCTACGTAAATACTTACTGACGGATTTAGTCTGATAGGATTACCATCCATTTTCCTTGTGACTGAACATGAACTTTGAGAAAGAGGACCTTGTAATTATTTGTATACTTTGCCTTTGGTGTTCTACTAAATAGAGTTAAAAAGGGATTATTTTGCTATTCAAAATGTAGTCTCTGGGCCGGTAGCATCAGCATCACCTAAGAACTTACTAGAAATGCACTCTTGGGTTCTACCCCAGAGCTACTGAATCAAAATCTGCATTTAACAAAATCCCTAGATAGGCTGGGTGGGGTAGATCACGTCTGTAATTCCTGTGCTGTGGAAAGCCTAGGTAGGGGGATTCCTTAAGGCCAGGAGTTCAAGACCAGCCTGGACAACATAGTAAGATGCCACCTCTCTCTCTCTGTCTCAGAAACAAACAAAAACCTCAAACGCTAGATAATTTGAATATACATTAAGGTTTGAAAACATTGTCTTGTGACATTATACCAAACATGTTGGTGATCTATGTACATATGTTTATATGAACACATGTAAAACCTTATCTATATATAGTATTTGATTGGTAAATATATGGTTATAAGTATACATGCTAGTCAATCAACTATTTACTGTGTGTCTGCTGTATATAGGCCACAGATCTAGATGTCAGGGATTTGCAGACAAACAAGATGTATGTGGTCAAGATAATTTCAATAATCTTTTGAATGGATTCACTATGTGTAGAGATGAAAAAAAAAGTTATCTTCATCACAATTGGTTAGAAATTGGATTTTGTGTTCCAAGGAATCTTATGCATTCAGATGACATAGCAACTGACCTCTGAGAAAGAATTTAAGATTTGTTTAACTTGCGAGAGGCAGAATCTTATTGCATAAGGAAATAAGCTACGTTTCAATCAGAGAATGTGAAATAGATTTGAGTTTCCAAGGACTTATTTTGTAGTCCTTCCTATTGAAAGGTGTTTTGTTAAGAGGTTACTCAGTGTTATTCTTAAATGATGGTTATGTGGTAGTAGTTTCAAAATAAGTGAAAATATACAATATATTCAGAGGCTATAAAATAAATACTACAAAGCAGATACAACCATATTTTGTGTTTATTCTAATACATAACAAGTAGTATTCCAAGTACAGAAGAAAATTAAAAAAATTGTGTGCATTTATTAAAATATGGCTTATTAATTTTTTCCATTAAAATACCTTTTTAATATAGTATTTGCCATGTTCCAGGTAACAAAGTAAATTCATTATGGCTTTGAGAAGAATTTGAAGTTTAATGAAGGTAGGAAGTGGAAGGCATTGAATGAGAAAGAATAAACAGTGAAGGCCAAGTTTGATGACAAGAAAGCAGCTTGTAAGGCAGAGTGTGATGAGGCTTGAGTGATTTTGGAGGACTGGCAGACAAGAGAAAGAAGAGCAGACGCATCATGGTCAAAAACAGAAGCACTGCTTTGGGGATGTCTTCCTATCCTGTCTTTTCTGAGAAGCTCCTCCTCCATAGGAGGGAGCCAGGAAAAACCAAGCTTGCTTGGTTAATGCTGTTTGTCCCTGGGCCAATCTGATTTTCCCAGGAATTTAGAATTTGGAGGTGGAAATGCTAGTTTCAGCCTGGGCAGGGCCATTTTACTGGGAACATATAAACCCAAGAGCTGTGAGGCATTTGTGTGCATGGAGAAAGAGTGAAATAGCTGATCTGCAGAAAAGGTATGGTGAACCAGGGAGGGAAGAACATCTGGCTCCTGAGGAAGAGAAAGCAAGCAAGTGATGCTCAAGGTTTTCCTCATCCTCCTAATCCCCTGAGAATCCTGGCTCTGTTCTGCCTTTGAGCTCAAAAGATACCCCTCTTTCTTATTGGATAGGCCCATTTGTGCCTAAGTTCACCTGAGCAGACTTCTGTTACTTGTGACAGCAAGTGTTTAACTAAGCCTGGGCCTCATTGCACACCTCCTAATTCCTACTCTTTCAGTTTTTCTGGGATCTCTGTGATATTTAATGAGAAAGGACTGAGTCATGGCCCTATTGGTTCATGGTGGAGTTGAGCTTAACATAGTCTGGGAAAGGTATAAAGAAGGAAAGCAGAAAGTAATATTTGATCTTGTTTAATTTCTTTGGATAGCTCATTCAACAAATATTAAGTGTTTCTTCCACATTCACCACTGTGCAATGTTCTAGGGATGTAGTAGTTAAATATGGCAGATGGTTCCTGTCTGTGGTGTTTATACTCTGGTGGGGAAGGCAGAAATTAAATGAATACCAACCATGATGTGTGGTGAGTGTTGTAACATGGGAAGTAGGCATAATGGGGACATGGTCACAAAGTCTCCCTAAGGCAAGTTCATTTTATTTTATTTTATTTTATTTATTTATTTTTTTTGAGACGGAGTTTCACTCATGTTACCCAGGCTGGAGTGCAATGGCGCGATCTTGGCTCACTGCAACCTCCGCCTCCTGGGTTCAGGCAATTCTCCTGCCTCAGCCTCCTGAGTAGCTGGGATTACAGGCACGCACCACCATGCCCAGCTAACTTTTTGTATTTTTAGTAGAGACGGGGTTTCACCATGTTGACCAGGATGGTCTCGATCTCTTGACCTCGTGATCCACCTGCCTCGGCCTCCCAAAGTGCTGGGATTACAGGCTTGAGCCACCGCGCCCGGCGCAAGTTCATTTTAAAACCTACTCTCTATAGAGAATTTGGGGATGACTGCTGTCTTGTTTTGAGTTTGCTATAAGCTAGCTGATTCTTATGGATGAATGAGAAATCAGAGCCTTTCCTTATCAAATATTCTTTCAAAAAGGAATATCCCTTTGGTGTATCTTATGTAGTAGCTGTGCATCACCTGCGACAATATCACCTTACGACCTACCCATCTGGAATCCTACATGAGCTTGTAAACCAGATCCTCAGGGTAAGAGTGGAAGTTTCAGTTACAGCCATAAATGTGATTAT